CAATCACATCCTTTTTAATTTTAAAAACAAAAAAAAAAATCATGTGGGGAATTTCATCAAACATCTTGCGAGCAATGTCTACCATTCCTAAAAGATTCCAACTTTCGTCGGATCTGATGAGATCCAACAATGATTTGAGCGAACATTAAACGATTTTAAGAAAATTTGGAAAAAGAAAAACATTTGAAACCATATATAATAGTAGAACAAAAAAGGGGAACCTGTCAGATCGCCGGGCGACCACCCCAACCAGGAAGGACCCTGAGCTGAGCAACGATCCTCTACAGCCAGGCGAGATCTCCCGAAGGAGAAATCAGAGCCGTTAATCACGCTCCGATCGCACGGCCACAAATCGTCAACCAGGTTTGAGGGCCTGTCTCCTTAGAACTCAAGGATACAGAAGTACGAGCCTATAGAACAGATCCTGTTCAAGTAAGGTCGTGACCAGAGTTGGCCCATGTCTTGTTTATACAAGAATATTTGTTTAGTAAAACTGCCGATGTGGGATATATTTCTCCATTATTTGTCAAATAATCGCAAATTAATCCGGTACCTGTTTTTTTTTTTTTTAAAAAAAAATATAAAATTCAAACTTATTAATAATTTCGTTATATAAACATATTTACACATTACAGTAAACGTTCTTCCATTTTGAGATTTTGTTATGAATACTAGGTAAAGGGCCACGCAGATTATTATTATTATTATTATTATTATTATTATTATTATTATTATTATTATTATTATTATTATTACGAAAAAATTTTCAAAAAATACTTGAATTTGTCAAATTTAACAAAACAAAACTAAATTTTTACTTTTATCAAATAAAACATCATCGATTTCATTTTTAAGTCAATATAAACTTTAACTTTATAGCTATTATCATTTTTAAACCCCAAATATTGATATGACATACTAATATTCTATATGACAAATCTAAATTGATCACATATAACATATCATCATCCACATATACAATTTAATATTTATGGATCTGACTGGTTGTATCGCAGCAATTGCGGTTGCGGTTGATAGCGTTTTCAGAATGTTTGGTAGCGATTGTGAACGGTTGGTACTGAATGGTTGGTAAATGACTGTTGGTGGCGATTGCGGTTGACTGCGAATAAAAGTGAATGGTTGTAAACGATTGCAATTGCGTTTTGATATAAATTACCAAAAAAGACATTATTTTAAAATAATTTTTTAAATTAATCATAATTAATTTTATATTATCATTTGATAAAAAAATATTTTATATAATTTATGAATAATTATATAAAAATATTTTAAAATAGAAATTTCATCAATTTGATTTAAATTAAATTTAAAAATAATTTTATCGTAAAAATATTTTAAAATACAAATTCCATGTCATACTACTATATTTTTACTAAAACATAATATCAAAAATTAAATTCAAATCATAATACTAAACAAAATCATTATTATTTTTCTTAAATCAAAACTCTCTCAACAATAAATACTCTTCATTTTTCTTATTTCACCACCATATGTTATTCACATAATACATATGATTACTAAAAACTTGTCTGCAATAATTTTCTATATACATTAACACGACTATTTAAAGACAAAAGATATAACCGTTACAAATTTCAAATCATAACTGTAACTTAATAAAATTATTCTAAAAACTGTTTCGATAACTTATTTTTCTTCCATGTAACTTGCACATCACTTTCTGCTTCAATTTCTGATGCTTCTTCATTTCTTCTTCATTTACTTTGAAAGCTTTGAATCAAAGAATGCCAACAATCATCAACAAGATATATATAATATCTTACATAAATATTAATCAACATGAAATATCATTTTTATAAGAAAAAACATGAAACATCATGCAAAAAGAAATCAATCAATATGTTTCACACCTCGTTAATCAATTCAATTGAAACACTTTGGTAAATAAACAGTCCCACAAGATAATCAAACAAGGACGAACCCTTTATCATCACTTTATAGTAGGGCTGGGCGTTTCGTTTCGGTTCGGTTCTTCGGAATCGGACCGAACCGAACCGTTAAAACGGTATTTTTCCTAACCCGAAACCGTTGTTATTTCCCGATTGGTACCATTTTTAGAGAACCGAATTTTCCCGAAACCGAATCGAACCGAACCGAACTTTAAAAATCCCGAAAAAACCGAATATTTTTAAAGGAAATCTATCATTTTTTTTTAATAAAACCCGGAACCGAACCGAACCGATACTGAAACCGAACCGAACCGAATACAATAAAAAAAACCCGATTGGTATCTATTTTTGTAAAACCGAAAGAACCGAACCGATTTATTCCGTCCCGAACCCGAACCGTTTCTCGAAACGCCCATCCCTACTTTATAGGTAATGACATCTCGTTCAGGCATTTCACCGAACACATTCAGGACGTGATAGAGATTGTCATTATCCAACGAACTTCATTCTTACAATACAAACATGAATATCAATCATCTTGAGGAAGAAGGTAACAAGGAGCCACACAAAGATAAGTTTCAGATTGAAGGTTTGTTGGGTTTTAGACCTCATGTTTGATTTCGGATCGAGAAAATACGATAAAATCTGATTTAAATCTGATCACTGATGAAGAAAAAAAACAGAACCCATTACTTGTTTGTTTTGGATATTGATAGAATCTCGTCAGTTCTTTGTTCTTGAATCGAAGATGATTAGCAGCGTTTTGATTCACACAAAATCCGAAGAAACTAGAAAAGAGGAAAGGTAATAAAATAAAACAGAGACACACCTGAAGACGACAGAGATGATGAGTTCCAGTGAGTTCCGATGAGCTCCGACGAAGAAAAACCTTAATCGAAGAACACATAAGAGAGGGTTTGATGAGATGAAGACGGGGGTTTCAAGCGAGAGATCATGAAGAGAGTTTTAGACTTTGAATGGTAGTGGCTTTTATTTTGGGTTTTTAGGTTTAGTTTTTGGTTTTTAGTTTTTAGTTTTTGATTTTTGGCTTTTGGATTTTATAATATTTGAAAACTCAAAAAAAGTAGCTTTTGGTTTTTCATTGATTTTTTCACTAAAATGGCTTTCCAAGTTTTTAGGAAAAGTAATTTTGTAAAAACTTGAATGTTGTTTTTTTTGGTTTTTGGATTCTAAAAACTCCAAAAACTCCCACCATTCAAGGCCTTAGTTTTTTTTAAAAAATTTGTTATATAAGGGTATTTTGGTCATTTGATTTAAACGCATGGAAACGCTACCGAAACGCATCCAAAAGGCAGCGTTTTGATTTTTGAAGTTTGGTTGCGGTAGCGTTTGGTTGCGGTTTGACCAATCAGTTTTGTAACCGCCACCAACCGTCAGAAATCGCAACCGCTCTGTTTACGGTTGGTGGCGTTGCAACCAGTCACCCCTATATCGTCTTTATTAAAAAAAAAATCTCATATTCTAACATTTCTTAGTCAAATTTGAATTGGATTTACATTGTCTTCTTCTATTAAAACTACTTTTGATTCAATTCACGTGTTGTTAAATAGTTCTTAGAATTTCCGTCGATTATCCTTCGAGTTCAGTAGAGAATTTCCGATTCGTATCATTTTCTAATTGTTTAAATATCAAATATTCAATTTTATTCAAATCTTTATTACGTTCTACTTTTTTTTCATAAATTCATGATAAAGAGAAGAAAGTATGGTGAGCAGGTGAAGTGTCAAAAATAATTATATATGATTATATGTTGCTAAAATTGTTAAGCCCGTTGTATTATATACAACAGATATAAAAAATATTTCGTTATAATTTAATTGATTCTGTGGAAAAAATGAAGCAAAACATGGAAAATATACAAGCACACGGAAAATTTTATATTTGACTGTTATTTGTAAAAAAACAAATGAGGATTTTAATCAAATATTACGTGATGGGAGTTTAAAACATTGATTATTAGACAAGCATTCATGACATTCTAAATTTTAGAATGTTATGTGTAAAAACATTGCATCTTTTAGAAAAAATAAATTTTCTAACATTCTCTAACCATACCGTTTTATAATTAAAAAAATATATGAAATGTCTCGACAATCAATAAGCCCAAAAAAATTGCTAATTTGATTTTAGAGAGCAAAAGGGGTGGGCGTTTCGGGAAACGGTTCGGGTTCGGGACGGAATAGATCGGTTCGGTTCTTTCGGTTTTACAAAAATAGGTACCAATCGGGTTTTTTATTGTATTCAGTTCGGTTCGGTTTCGGTATCGGTTCGGTTCGGTTCCGGGTTTTATTAAAAAAAATGTTAGATTTCCTTTAAAAATATTCGGTTTTTCGGGATTTTTAAAGTTCGGTTCGGTTCGGTTCGGTTCCGAGAAAATTCGGTTCTCTAAAAATGGTACCGTTCGGGAAATAACAACGGTTTCGGATCGGAAAAAATACCGTTTTAACGGTTCGATTCGGTCCGGTTCCGAAGAACCGAACTGAAACGCCCAGCCCTAGCAAAAGGTAAGAGAATCGGATTAATGGATAACATGTCCGTCGGCCCAAATTTAAAACTAATTTAAAAAAAAAGGTTCCGACTTAATCAAGATTCATATCACCGCCGTTATCATTATAATAAAAACTTATAGAATTTAATTAAATTTTTTCTTATGGAATTCTTTATTGTCACCTATTAGGTGTGGAAAAAAATAATAACATGAGTGTATTATTATAATAATACAGACTCTCTAAAAAGTCCAAAGATTTAAAGGTCCAACGACCACTCCGATCGGACGGCCAAGAAAATCACACGTGGCAAAAATCGATTGGTGCAGATTTGACACGTTTTTGTTCATGCCCACCAAAGTACAACGTGAGAAGCTCTACTTAGCTTGCAACGTGAAGACCATAACGGACACGAACTCATAACAAAGACAATGATTGTTCCGACAATTCCACGCCCTCTTTGATTCTCTTTTGCCTTTTCCTCACCACACGTACGTACATATATATATATATGTATGTATGTATATATGTATATGAACATTTAAGGAGTCATCGACATTGAGAGGATTGTGAGAATTAACGAGGAAAATGGGAGGAGGTGTGAGGGTAAGGACGTTAGAGGTGGCGATTCTAGTGGTTGCGTTTGCGTCTGCGTCTGCGACTGCGTTTGCATATAATAACTATGGAGAAGCACTTGACAAGACGTTCATGTTCTTCGAGGCTCAGCGGTCGGGGAAGTTGCCTGCGTCTCAGCGCGTGAAGTGGCGTGGCGATTCGGCTCTCAAGGACGGTCTCTCCCAAGGGGTAAAGCCTCTGATTCTATCCGAAGATATATATATATATATACACAGTTACATGTTATCATATAATCTCGTAATTAATTTGATTATAATTTCAAAGACGGCGATTACATATTAATTCTGGGTAAACAGACGATAGAAATGGCAGAAATGTAAAGAATTGCAATAAATATGGAAAAAAATCACAGAAATGTGTATATAATGAATATGAATATATCAAATTCATATTACATTGTGTATATATACTATATATAGAGAACTGGGAAAATGGCATATCGTTCCCATGCAAATTCACACGCTCTATGATTTAGGAAGTTTCAAACATATTAGTTTCATTTTCTCGTTAAAAAGGTGATAAAAAAAATTATAGATATTATCATATACGTAAATGTATATTTTTCGTATATATATATATATATATATAAGAACTGTAATACACATGGAAACGATCACAGAAATGTTTATACAAAACACACAAAACAACTGAACGGTCCATAAAAAATATCATTTTTCCGTGATCTTCATACGATAGTTATGAGATTTTTTGCGCATAATAATGATAATACATGTGAATCCATATCATGCATACAGAATTAACGTAGTTTATATATATATATATATAACATTATATGTATCTTGTTCATATTGAACAGGTGAATCTTGTGGGAGGGTACTATGATGCCGGAGATCATGTGAAGTTCGGGCTACCGATGGCGTTTACGGTGACGATGCTCTCGTGGGCGGCTGTCGATTTCCGCAGAGAGCTAGTCGGGTCGAACCAAATGCAGCAGACGTTAACGTCGATCCGATGGGGGACCGATTACTTCCTCAGGGCTCATCCTCAAGAAAATCTCCTCTGGGCTCAGGTCGGGGACGGGGAGTCCGACCATTACTGCTGGGAACGAGCTGAAGACATGACGACTTCTAGAACTTCTTACAAGCTCGACGAGTACAGTCCCGGTTCCGACTTAGCCGGCGAGACCGCCGCCTCGTTGGCCGCCGCTTCCTTAGCCTTCAAGCCCTTCGACTCTTCTTACTCCGATCTCCTCTTGCTTCATGCCAAACAGGTTTCATTTCTCGGTTTCTCAAAATCCTATGTTTCGGGTTTTTTTTCGACGTCTGAATCGTTATTTCGTAGAATGTTTCAGCTCCTTTGGTTCTGCTGACAACATAAGCAAGTCTCTTCTTCTTGATCTTGTTTTTTTTTTCTATTTTCAAGAATGCTGAATTCTTGATCTTGTATTTTTTGGGGTAAACCTTAAATCTTGTGTTTCGGATTCGATGTCTGAATCGTTCGTTGTTTCGTTATTGTTTCAGCTCTTTCAATTCGCCGATAAATACAGAGGACTGTACACAGATTCGATCCCGAATGCAAAAGCGTTCTACATGTCATCGGGGTACTCGGTAAAGTCTCTAAACTCATCCATGAAAAGGGTTTAGTTCCGTTGATTTCTTTCGTTTTCGCGTTATAAGGTTGTCTGAGAATGCTTGAATTCCTTGAAAGGACGAACTGCTGTGGGCATCGACGTGGCTGTACCGAGCAACTGGAGACCAGTATTACCTGAAGTACGTTGTCGAAAACGCAGGATACATGGGAGGAACGGGATGGGCGATGAAGGAATTCTCTTGGGACAACAAATATGCCGGCGTTCAGATCCTTCTTACTAAGGTTTTAACCGGTTTTGTTTGCAGAAAACGTTTTGGCTACCGGATTTAGATTGCTGAATCTTTTGCTCGGTTTCGTTTACGCAGATTTTGTTGGACGGAAAGGGCGGTGAGTACACGCCGGTGCTTAAGCAATATCAGACCAAAGCCGATTACTTTGCTTGCGCTTGTCTCGAGAAGAACGGCGGCTATAACATTCAGAAAACGCCTGGTCGGTTACTGACATAACTCTTGAACTTTAAGTTCCGACATCCGAAAAAGTTTCTCTAACTCTCGGAATTTCAGGCGGCCTTATGTACGTTCGAGAATGGAACAACATGCAGTACGTTTCCGCAGCCGCTTTCCTTCTCGCTGTCTACTCTGACTACCTCTCTGCAGCCAACGCTAAACTCAATTGCCCTGACGGCTCGTTCTCCCCTCAACTGCTTCTCGATTTCGCCAAATCTCAGGTTCTCTTTTTTATTTTCTCTCTTCAAGGGTATTATAGTAATTGTCTACGTTCGATACGATTTTTTAGCTCTGGCACCATATTGGAAAAAATGTCGTTATGTGTACGTAATTACTATAACAACCTATTATAGATCTCTTCTTGATCTGGTTCTGGTATCAAGAACCGTTAACCGAGGTTTTTCTTGTGAACAGGCTGATTATATCCTCGGGATGAACCCGCGGGGAATGAGCTATCTCGTCGGGTACGGACCAAAATACCCTTATCAAGTCCACCACCGAGGTGCGTCCATCACTTCAATCTTCCTGCTCCGTTCTTCTGTAAGCTGCGTTCAAGGATTCGACTCATGGTATAGACGTCCTCAAGCCAATCCCAACATTATCCACGGCGCCCTCGTGGGAGGGCCCGACCAGAACGATAACTTCGACGATGACCGATCGAATTACGAGCAGACTGAGCCAACATTGTCGGGAACTGCCCCTCTCGTCGGCCTTTTCGCCAAACTATCGGGAAAATTAGGTAGCAGAGCTCAAAATCCGCTCCGCAGCAGCAACCTCCTCTCACGTACCACCGTCTAACGTATAATCCTTTCTGGTGAATCTGTAGGGTCTTATGGAAGAACGCCTTCTTCTTCTTCTCCGCCTTATCAATCAACAAAAACGCCATCTCAAGAATCTCCGGGTAAGATCTTATATGTTCTAATCAAGATTCCACGAATTCTGAGATGAATAATCACAGAATCTGATACAAATATTTTCTCTTTTATGTGTTCTTCGCAGTTTCCTATCAGAAAACAACACCGAGTTCTTACACTGCAAAACCAACGGGTGAGCGATTAAAACATATGAATATATCAGAAATCATACATTTTTTTCTCAAAAAAAAAAAACAATCATTGCAGGTGCATCCGTTGAGTTCTTACATTCAATAACCAACACATGGATGGACAAGAACACGAGGTATTACCGACACAAAGTGATCGTAAAGAACACGTCTCGGGTACCGATAACGGGTCTGCAACTATTGATCCGAGACCTCGAGGGACCTATATGGGGTCTGAACCCGACGAGCGGGGAGAAGAATGTTTATGAGCTTCCGCCATGGGTGAAACAGCTTGGACCAGGACAGACTTATACTTTTGTCTACGTTCAAGGTGGCCCTCAAGCTAAGGTTTCAGTCTTGAGTTACCACTGATCCAAAAAAGATCTGATCTTTTGCTTTGCCCATTTCATTGTTTTTGTGTATTCTGCATGAAGAATGTAGATAGAGAGAGAGCTCTTTAAGACAGCCGTGAGAGGAACACAAACATGTTCATGAATACTTTCAGTTTGTTGTATAGGTTAAAATGGGTGAATGATCTGGTTTTCAATAGATACAAAACGTACGAATTTTGAAATAAATTCATGACAGGCCGAGGGAATTGCAAAATAGAGCACAGAGAATTCCAAATTCATCAAATGGACCCGGTTAAGACAAGGATACCAACCGGTTAAAGATTTCTAATAGATCCCAAAAGAAAACCAAAATTGTGACAGAGCAAGTTCAAACCCTAAAAAGAACACTTGTATCTAAAACAGGAAATATAAAAATGGTAACGAGTATCATCATTTTTTTTAAAAAAAGGCTTTCTTAATACAAAAACGATGGAATATTATGAGAGCCTTCCCTCCCTCCCTCCTACAAAGCGCTCCTTCCATTCTAGTCGTCGTTGTTGAAGGTAGTCTTCTTTCCTGCAAACGACCAAACACAACAATTCACAACACAGAATTTACAAAGACATCTCTCTCTCGCAACAAAATTCCACATATTCACCAAATCTGCCATATATAATACACGAAGAGTGTGAAGAAAAGAGACAAAACCTGCAGAGGCAGTGAAGCTGGGCTTGTTGTAGGGTGTTCCACGACCTCCCCTGCCGCCACCTCCTCGGCCACCTCTGCCTCTGCCGCCTCCGAATCTGCCACCACCATCTCTGCCGCCGCTTCTTCCGCCTCTTCCTCCGCTTCTTCCGCCACCACTGAAACCTCCTCCTCCTCTTCCTCCGCTTCTTCCTCCGCCACTGAATCCACCATCTCTGGGTTGGGCTTCGTCAACTGTGAGGTTGTATCCTCCCATTTCACTCCCATTCAGCTCCAGCGCCTTGTTCATGGCTTCACTGTCCTTCACATCCATGTATGCAAACCTGCAACAAAAAAATACCTTTTGGTTAGTAAAATCTCAGACAAAAGCTTAAAAACGATTGTCTGACTATTATTTTCACAACCAACGATATATAAAAACCCGAGATAAACAATAAGAAAAGTTACAAACCCCTTAACGCTGCCAGTCTCACGGTCTGTTGGAACAGAAATCCTATTGATCTCTCCACAGCCACCAAAATGGTCTTTCAAAGCACTCCTAACCTGTGGCATTTTTCAGGCGCAGTAATGTTATTTGTATGATGAAAAAGACAACAAAGATAATTAACGGGTGGTGAGTGAAATGAGAAGAGGTATTGCAAGCAAAAGATGATAGACCTCGTCTTCACTGAGGGAATAGTCGAATCCCTTGACGAAAACTGTAGTGCCCTGACCTCTCCCACCGCTCTGGAAGTTGTTCGTTTTGCTGCGGTAGTCATAATGACACGATTAAAAAACAAAATACAAAACAACTTCCACATAACATGGTTGAAGTTATGGAAGAAAACAAGTACCCGCTCTGAGGTGTATATGCACCCTTCTCCCGAGCAAGATCAAGTCTGACCTCACGACCCAACAGAGATTGACCATTCAATTCAAGGGCCTACAAAGAATATATGAAACAGTCCTATCAGCACCGTCATTCCAGCTCCCCGGAGGAAAACCATAAAACAATAACAGCAATGAACCAAGAACAAATTAGACTTGTAGAAAGAAGCAATTTGAATATGATTCCAAACTCACCTTCTGAGCAGCTTCAGCAGAAGCAAACTCAACATGCCCAAAGCCCCTAAACCTACCATCCTCGCCTGAAGCAAACCGGACATCGACAACTTCACCAGCATCTTTGAAGAAATTCTCACTGCATAATGGGACACGGCATCAGATAACAGAACGTCTTACCATGTAAAATCAAGAGGAGAAAGATGTACTTACACGTCTGCTTTTTCAACTTGGAAAGAAAGGTTGCCCACAAATAAAGTCTTTGATCCTCCCTGTGTCTGAGGAGTAATTGGTGTCTTTGGCTGAAAAGAAAACAGATATTATGATATCCAGAGATCATAAAACTACTGAGCCTTTATGAAGAAACCTTCATTAATCTATAGAACTGCTAAGCAATTGGCAGAAAACGCACAGTAGGCAATAGTGGAATATACTTTAGGTTGAGCTTTACCTGTTTCACACTTGATTTTTGTTCCGCATCCGCCATTTCAACATCAGAACCCTGATTTATTTAAAAACATAATACAGAAAATTATATCAATGTATGATCAATCAAATCTCATAAGCACCATTTCCAACCAAATAAGAAGGTGAACAAGAGACCTGAGTACAGAAATTTGTTCACAAAAGGCCCTTATACAAACATCATAACATTTCATCCATACCTTTTTCTTAGGAGTTTTCTCATCTTCACTCTCCTCATCATCAGAGGAGTCCTCACTAGATTCATCGCTACTGTCTTTTTTTGTAGCAGCAGACTTCTTGTCAGCTGTAGATGAAACTTTAGCCTGTACAACAAAAAAGTATAAGCTGGACAACATACAATTATAAATTGTCACAAGTAAGAATAATATGTTGGCTTCAGAGGAAACTTCACCTTCTTCTGAGGAGCTTCATCATCACTTTCCTGCAAGTTCAGTTTATGAAAACAATTAGCATCATAAAATAACAAGACAAGACACCGAGAAAGAGTAACACACAGGCGTATAACATCTCCAACTATAAACAGGATTTGAGGATTAGAGAGAACTTAGCTCAAACAATTGCATTGAGGGTTTTAAAACGTATAATAATTTATTAGAAAAAGGCCATACAAAGTACCATTCGACTCAATCTGATACGAAAATAGAATAGAAGCTAACCTCATCAGAATCCTCATCTGAAGAGTCAGAACTGCTGGCAGGCTTGGTTTTCTTTTCAGCAGTCTGTTTTTTCGGGGCAGGTTCCTGTGATTAAACATTCCACAAGAAAATTAGATGTGGATCTCTTCAGCAACAAACATATAAATAAAATAAAAATTACTGAAAACGCTCACCTCATCCGAGGATTCATCATCAGAGGAATCATCACTGCTAGATTCCTTAGGTTTCTTGACAGCAGCAGCAGCGGCAGCCGGCTTCTGATTTCAAACAAAGGGCAGAAAATAAACACAACTCCATGATTTTGCAAAACCAAAACGTTGACAAAAGTTAACAGTCTTGAGAAATGGTTTCTAACCTTCTCATCTTCAGATTCATCCTCAGAGGATGAGGAGTCGTCAGAAGCTGGCTTGGCATTCTTAGTAGCTGCAGGCTGCTTCTTCACAGGAGCAGGTTCCTAATTATTTCATAACAAAAGTAAAGAATAAACATATGCCAATGGCTCTTACAACAAATATATTGTGCTGATAAATATAATAGTGTTTACCTCATCCGAAGACGACTCATCCTCGGACGATGAACTGCTGGATGCCTTGTCCTTCACAGAACCATTCTTAGCAGCAGCAGCAGTAGCAGCAGGCTTCTTGGCTGCAGCAGGCTCCTGAATGAATATGAAAAAAAGAGCCTTTTAGTCCCCATCACTAAGCCTCAGTTAGCATTATATCACACTACTCACCTCATCTGAAGATTCATCCTCAGAAGATGAATCATCTTTACTGGATGGTTTCACAGACTTTGCAGCATTTCCATTAGTGGCAGCAACTGGCTTCTTCTTTGCGGGTTCCTTCACAAGAGAGCAAAACGAATCAACAAATGCTTGCAGTATTTCACTGCATTACACACGGTAGCAGAAACCGAATTAGCTAGGGGACAAGGAAAAAGGCTTACATCATCAGATGAAGACTCGTCACTGCTGGAGTCCTTAGTAGGAGCCTTCTTGACTGCTACCTTTTTAACCTGACAAAAATCCCATAGAGGAAAACAAGAATTAACATGATCTCCTAAAAAATTATGCACAGAAATATAATGGCGAACATATTGCAAACAAAATATATATAACACTGGAAAAATGAAATACCCATTAATAACAAATTAACAAAGGAATCAAGAACACTTGAAAGGGGCCATATACCTTTTGCTCTTCTTCAGAATCAGAAGAATCTGATGAGTCAGAACTGCTGCTTTCTACCTTCTTTGGAACCTTCTTCTCAGCCTTCTCCTTCACAACAGCAGCATTCACATCTTTTTTCTGCTTCTTCAGATTTACTTGCGCCTCCAAATCATCTTCTGCGTCTCTCTTGCCTAAAAATAGCATCAAACAAAATCAAAACCCAAAAAAAGGAGAGAATTTAGCAAACGGTGTTAATGTTGTCTTAAACGCTGAGAAAAAAATATGCAAAAGAATAAAACACATAGCATAAGCATTGATAAATCTCGGAACCAATGTCCCAAAGACCAAACACAAAAGAAATATAATCCTTCATGTAATAAATCTAAACACATTAACAATCCAGACTTCCAAGAATCACAAACTAAAACAACATTTCGAACATCAAGAATAGAAGCCTTACAAATGAAAGACCATAAGACAAGCACTTCTTTCTTCACTCATATACAAAAGCAATGACAAATTACAAACTCGTACTTTATAAAAACACGAAAGCGGTAAACAAAACCCATGCGAAATCGATTCAGGCACCAAAATACACTACTTAAGTACCTTTCTTCAAAGCCTTTGCAGGTATAGCCGCAGCTTCAACCTGAAAATCGGAAACAAAAACAGAGAATTAGTTTTGCCCAAAAACCATTTCGGCGGAAACGAGACCATGACAAACAGAGACGCAAAACAAAAGAAGAAGAAGAAGAAGAAGAAGACCTTGGCGGCGGATTTCTTGCTAGACTTGCCCATGGAGACAGAGAGAGAAAGAGAGACTGCTAGGTTTTTCGAGAGAATTTGGGGGAGAAAAACCCTAGCTGCTGAAGATATTTTGCGAATTTAGGGTTTTAGGAAGAGGGATATTTATAGGCCCATGTTGTTTGGGCACAAGGGTCTTTTATTTTTTTTATTTCTTATTTTTTCCATTTTTGATTTTTTTTGTCCGCTATTGAGGTGTATGGCTGTAACTTGCTCATATACTTTCGATCTCTGCCGTCCACGTGGCATGTAACTGGCCCAACTGAAAGCAGAGAGTTACTATGATGAAATCATGTTTTCTTTTTCTTTCAGAAAAAGTGATATATATATATATATACATATATATTACAAATAAATTATATTTATAATAGAGTACACCGTTATTGTTCAATTTACTGTTTATATTCATATAAATAGTGTGAGCATAATTTTAAATTTTCTATAAATAGATCATTTGTATTATTATTCTTATACATTTTCGGAAAAGAAAATAATAAAAAATATCATATTTCACATTCTTTTAAATGTTTGATTTCCATTTATGTTTAAATAATTCCGCTTTCAAAAGAGAATTGGCAAAATTGAATTGCACATAACTCAGAGCGAATCAAATTTCCCTA